CATTCCTGCACAAAGTCCATTTAGTCCAGGCTTGGGGAGTGAGTGCTCACTGATAGCTTTTCCAAATGTGGTCAGAGAAGGACACTATCAACTCCTGCAAGACGTATGCTGATTATTTTCATAGTACCCTCTAAAAAAGCAACATACCAATTCACTGACGAATGAACTGCCTAATGTTACACCAGACCAGAAGAAAATACCAGCTCCAAGGATGATTTTCCTATTGTACCGGTCACTGAGGTATCCAAAGACAGGGGCAGCCACCATGTAACACACGATGAAGACTGGAAATCCAAGAAGAAACAAAGACAATATTGGTCAAATTATTTTTACCGTGCATATTCCTCACCCCTCAGACAAACTCAGGTTATTTTTTAGAGCAGAGTTAAAGGCAGGCTGAGTTTATAGAACTAGTAGGTAGATTGATATTTAGAAAAAGATAAATGCAGATTCAAAAAAACCTATACAAATATAAAACATGTGTGAATTGCTCAGGTTATGGATTTCTTTTGTGATTCACATACTGTGGGATTTTTGAAGGACTTCATTCGTTCCTGAACCAAAGGCTTTCGGTTTTGCATTATAGCCAGCCTGCCCACAAGTGGAAGTGAGCAATACCACACACAAGTAGGAATGAGAAGAAATAAGTAACTCGACTGTGTTTTAGGAGCAGACCACATAGATGCAAGGCAAAGTAAACTAACTGAGCTTAAGTGATTTTATTACCTGTTTGCAGTAGACCTGTATCCCCATCACTAAGCTTGAAGTATTTCTGTATATCTAACAGGATCCCTGCAACAGAGTCAAACACTGAATGACAGCAAAGTACCCTGCACATTCCTTGTAATTCTATTCATTTGCCAACTCAGAGATTTATTTCAAGAACAGGGCTTGCAAGAACTGCAGCACATTTAGCTTGCTAGTTTACAGGTAAACGGTTACTCTACCACAAGCACAGATACACAGAGAATTAAAAATTCTTATCACTACAGATAAAATTCTTTATCTTCCACTATATAGGTCTTATGAGAGTCAGTTTACCTACTATTTCAATCACAGCTGTTCTGTTTCTTTTGCACTGTTAGTACGTAAGCACATAAACAGTTTACAGCTCAAAGTTTAATGGATGCAATGTGGAAAAAAACAGTGGCAAAGTTTTGCAGACAGGAGATTACTATCTTCATACAGCTAATCCTAAAATTTTCTTAATGACCTTAAAATGTTAAGATGAGTTCAAATTCCTTCTGTTAAGAAGAACTGTTAATATTTCTGGTTATACAATATTCAAATTAGCGCATGTTAGATTTTTCAGGATGCAGATGGTTACAATCTTCATTAGCCAATGGTGGCTAAATCAGCCTATAGCCAGGGAGGTATAGATAACTGTGGATTTAAAAATTAACATTTTTAGTGGTGACAATGAATGACAGACAAACTTCACCAAAAGTGATCATTTCTATTTGTGATAAACGGCTGACAGAAATCCCATCTCGATTTCTAAACAATAGCTGTGGAAAAAGGTTAGAAGAGTTGTCAAAAAATGTGGAAGAAATCACACAAGCAACAAACTGAGGGAAGATCCATGGATCTGTCACCTCACAGATGCATGAATGCTCTTGAGACAAAAAGGTCATTTACATCATGCCAAAGCTGCAGATTTACCATCTCACCTATCTTGCATTTCTGCATTATGTTCCTGAAAAAAAAAAATTAAAAATAGCAGAAGATACTGCTTTGAATAAGCATACCTTTACTCTGACATCAAAAGATATCAAGTAAAAAAGAAATTTCTTCTCATGCAGCTTTAGTTTTGCCGAAATAGTCAAAATCAAAACATTATTAAGAGGATGAAGCCACCACTTAAAACAAGTTCTGTATAAATTGACTGCTACATTCACAGAAGCTGATCTGCAGCAGAATGGAGCTCGGGGTGAGGTTAGCAAGAGGTACCCATTCTGTTCCTGCAGCGTATTTTACATATTAGGCCACATACTATGCTGCTGCAGCCACTTAAAACCATTCTTGAGCCAGCTAGTTTAAAGCTAAATGCACCTTCCCCCACAGTCCCCGTGGCTGCAGCATAATCGGTCTCCTCACTGTTTACTGATGTGTTTTGAATCCAGTGTAGATCAAGGTCTAGCCTAACAGCAGCACCAGGTTATACAACCGTTTCTCAATGACTCTTGAACATATGCTGCGTTTAGGGTTTTCCTAATGGTCTCACAAGTTTAAGTTGGTGACTTCATTCAAACATTTTGTATCATTAAAACAGGACAATCAATTGCATCTATTCTTTCTGGTATCTGATTAGCAATGCACAGAAATACTGTATCACAGGAACTTCAGTTTTGGACTAATAGAGTGTTTAGAATAAATCACAGCTAACACAAGACTTGAACTGAACTACAACTTCATCTCAAACTGACTTTCACACTGAGCACCATGAAAGTGTTATCCCCTCCACATAACTGAAATAACTGACCTAACCCGTTATTGGCAAATTATAAAACATTGATCTGAACAGCCTGGAACAGGGTAACAGATCAGAGGGGAAGAAGTCTGCATGATCACCATTTTTAACAAACTGAAGACTCAATTCCAGCAGACAGTTAAGTGGAAGAGCTTGTTTGCTGTGTGAAGATTGATGCAAACTATGTCAAATCCTGTGAGCAAAACTGCCCGGAAACCACAACTTCATAACTGCCACCAGCTTACTTTTAACCAAATGCTCAAGTCTCTCCTTCTTCACTTCCCTGTTAACTTATATTTAACAATATGTTCATACATATGGACAGCCAAACTCACAAGTACTAATGCAAGAATTCTGCAATGAAGCTTAATTCTAACAGATGAACGATATATTGCTGTGGTATAGACTGCAATTTACAGATTTCCCCCATGGCCCAAAAGGTCATAGAGTTAACTGAAAAGTTAGAGAGAGAGAGTTATAAAGTTATAAAAGTTGTACAGAGTTAACTACAAGTCGTATCTTGTAATTAAAGCAGATGCTGGTATTTCAAAAGCCTTCACACTATCCTCGCCTCTGCTCTTGAATTCTTACATGTCCCTGAAGGTACCTCACTCACAAGAAACTGAGCATGTTAACAAGTAGGCAAGCTTTCCTTCACAGGCCTTCTTGAAAATGTCAAGCTCTTAGCATGTACAGGAGCCAAAGAATAGTTCAAAGCCTGGAATGAACCAAATAACTGCTTGCACTTTATACTTCCAACTGCATCCCCCCCTAGCATCCCAGTTCTTGCTTGAAGATATTTTCATCCTCTCCTGTCCTCTGCCCTTCTCCAGGGAAAGTTACTTGACAACAGAACTCATACATTGAAGTTTTTCATTAACAGTCTTGCAGTATCATTTAGCACGCACTCCTCTTTGCTTCCTTCCCTCTTGTATGTGTGGTTAAGAAGTATTCAAAAGAAAAAAAGCTTAAACTCCTAAACCCACTAGCCTCCCAATTTTTAAAGATACTGCCTGAATGACTTAAATTTCTGAATGGTCTAAGTAGTAAAAATAATTAGTTTGTGTGCTGTCACTAGATATTAATTCCAAATTTAACAATCCATCCTTCTGGTTTTTTCAAGGTTTTAAAACATTTATGGCTTCCAGGCCACTCAGAAGTAAAACATAGCAAGCTCACAACAAGTGCTTCCTCCTAATTTATAAATCAGATCCCTGGAAGCATGGTAGATGCTTAGGAGTGATGCTAAACAAACGAATTTACACAGACCACAGTTTACGTGCGAGGAAAAAACATAGATTTCCCACCAGTTTACTAAAAGCGATGTTTTGCTGTTTGGGGTTAGGTTAAAAAAAAAAAAATCACATTTTGGAAGGAGGATATTATTTATCAGAAAACAAGTTGTAAATTTGGTAGGTGACGCTTAAGGAAGTGGGTCTCCGTTCTCTTAACACCATCATGTTTGTTATACTCTTCATTGCGGAAATCATACAATTTCCAGCAGATCATGAGGAAGTTAAGCCTCCCCTAAACAAACTTGCACAAAGAGAACATAATTTTTGTACTTTCAAGGGGGGGAATGGCATCACTATTCTTCAGATAAAGGAATGCTGTATCTAAACTACTAGATCCAAAGAAGTCCTGGTAAATTGCTGCATACAATAAAGGGAAGCTTTTTAGTCAAATCGCTGTAGAATCCAGACACAAAAATAGACTAGTTGCTCTGTATGCTGAAGTCTGTTTATAAGAGACTTAGGTTTAAAAATATAAATCTTAAGCATTTAACAGGTGTGGTTTTCCTAAGCATTCTACTAACCATTAACAATGAATAAATCATTTATTGGTCTTTCAAGGTTTATAATTGGAAGTTTCATTAAGAGTATGACCAACAGGCTACAGCAGGTAAGTGAGAGAGATTAAAATGACATAAAGCATATCCTTACTTTGGAAAACATTTCTAACTACAGAGTAAGTAGAGCTGCTGAGAACTTGAATTTCTTTTTCCTTAGAAGGAGGAAACAGGCTCTCACCTGGTACAATGAACCAATCCATGAAATTTATTAAATTCACATAGCACAGCACAGCAGTTACCAGGTAATCTCCCTTTGCTGGACCGTTCCAGCAAAGACATGACACAGACGCGAATGGACGTTGTCTCACATGTGCTGCAGTGGCTCCGTAATTCTGCTCCTCAGGAGGCGGCTGGGACTGCAAGCCTGTGTTTTCATGTGCCGCAGGGTTTTGCATATTTCCCAGTGCAGAAAGTCACCATAAATTATGAAGCATTTCCTCAGCACACGAAGCTACAAGTCGATTTTGTGTTCAGGCTATGAGGAACTTCAATCACTATGGTCATTTCCGGTGATGGAAAGCCCAGCCACTAAAAACTGAAATTAAGTGTTCCTTGCAGTAGCAAGAACTCTACAAAGAAAGAAGCTGCAGTCCTGTGTTTTTGCAAAAGCAAAAGTGCTGAAGTTCTAGACCTTGAAGACAAGGAATAGTAAATGTAAACAAAAGCAAAATAATCCATTGTGCATCCAAGAAATAAAAGTGCACAACTTTGCAATGATCTCACAGAAAATTATTAATAATCTTCACTGAGGTCTCAGTGAGTTGCCAGAGCTAAAAATAGCCTTTCTAGAGAAAAGAGGGAAAGAAAGAGAAGGTTCTTTGCTAGGCCAGGTACCTATCTCTGACTTGAGCCCTCCTTTACCACAGACATTTTGTGCAACTCTGGACAAGACATTCACTTTCTCTGCACCTCAGATTGTTATTCCTGCCACACACACCCCTGGCCTTTAAAAGAGGCTACCTAGCCTTGTCCCTGCCACCCAACCAGTCACTTCTCCCTATTACTGCCCATTTCCTTTGCACTGGCCAGATCTACTCCCAGAACAAAATCCTTTCCAATAAGGTCCTGAGTTTTTAGGTCAAATCAGCAATTTAGGCAGAAGACTCATACTCCAGATTACTTGCTGGGTTTGGGGTTTTCTTTAGTGGGGGAATAGCAAACAAACAAACAAACAAAAAACCAAAAAGCAACCCAGAATGCTACAGTAAGCAGAGAAAGGCAGATGGAAACAAACACAC